ATATCGACTGTCTCCCTCCTCCACCTGTGGATTGTTCACTCGAGTCACGTGACCAAGATCACCTGAAAGACCCGCAAACAGGAGATTCTGAGTTAATATGTAAAAAAACAAACGAAAAATAGATTGACTTGAACAAAAAAGAAATTCAGACATACCGATTTTGTAGACAACACTGGTGGTCGGTCCATCGTCCTCGTCTGATTCATCACAACTCGCCACAGCTTTGCGTGAAATGAAGATGTTACCTGAAACAAAGATGAGGAAACAGTGAAACAGGGATTCATTTCTGTTTAAAAATAAAGGTCAGCCAATCAGACCGGCCTCTGCTGACAGAAAATCCAGGCGGGACTCACTGGGCTTAATGTCCATGTGCACCAGAGACATGGAGTGGATGTATTTGAGTCCCCGGGTGACCTGCAGCAGCAGGTCTTTCAGCTCCAGCTCAGATAGGTAGCTGAGCCGCCTGTAGTTGTCAGTGATGACGTCGGACAGAGTGCCGCCATTGCAGTACTCGTTCTGGATGAGCATGTGGTCGTCCTCGGCCCAGGCTGAGTAGTAGCGCACCACATGGGGGTGCTGGCCTAGCACGGCGTGGGCGTAAACCTCCCGCAGAGCGTTCTGTCTGTTAGGAGAATAAATTCTTTATTAACTGGTCACAGGAGGAAGAAAACCGTGAACTACAGGATGGGATATGCTGACTTACTCGTCCACCGATCCCGCCAGCGGTTTCTTTGACCTCTTGATGGCGTAGATGCAACCGTCGAGCCTTTTTACACATTTGAAAACCGCTCCGAATTCACCAGAACCAATTTTCTCCAGCTCCAGGAACTCTGATGCATAGCGAGATGTCATGTTGTTTTCCATCATGGTGATCCTCTGGGGGGGTGGGGGTTAGAAAAAACGTAAACATTAGCATCATAAAGAAGAAAAACAGGTCACTTAAACTGACAGTTTCAGGTCATTTAGCATATCAATTGGCACACCTTACAATAGCCCCCAGCATCAAACATTATTGAGAAACACGTGCATAGTTATACCAGCAGAACTCAAAGATAATAAAACGGTTAAAGCTGTATATTTCAGAGTTATAAGTTTTTAGCAGAATCAGAATCAGATTTAGATCACAGATCTGCTAAAAACTTATAACTCTGAAATATACAGCTTTAACCGTTTTATTATCTTTGAGTTCTGCTGGTATAACTATGCACGTGTTTCTCAATAATGGTTGATGCTGCAGGATCTGTGATGTGGGCAAAAACATCATGACTGACTAATGAAATCGTAAAATGGTTTACTAATTGAACCGTAACATAGAGCAAAAGCAAATTTTACAGAAAAATATTGAAAATAATGACTACAACAATTAAGACGAAACAAGAAACTTTTCCCATTTAAGATTAAAAAGCTTTTTTCTATACAAACACATCTGATCAAATGTGTTAGTTCATATATTGTATATTTATTAATGTTCTATTTATAATTCATAAAACAATTGCAAAACCCTAATTAAATGGGCGGTTATCGAGTGAAAATAAAAGGATCAAGAAAAATAAGAAATTTGAAAGTTTGAAAAAAATAAAAAAGCAAAAAACATATGAAAAGGTATTATTAGGAAAATCATATAGGACTCATTGTACCTTAGAGGGTGGGAGGAGTTCCTCTTCTCCCTCTCCATCACTGGCCTCCATGTCTTCTCCACAGGAGCTAAATACAAAAGAGAAACGTTGGTTAGCATCTCTGTACAGGAGGGGGCAGCACTGAGAGCCACAGAAAGCACGTGGAGAGCAGCAGTAAGGTAACCACGAGGTCCCTGTTATCAGACAACTCCCCCCTCCTCATTCTGACTAATATAACTGGTTTAAACAAAAGACTTGTTAAAGAAAAACAGGCTTGGTTACTAAAGCCAGTCCTGAGTAAAACTTTTACAGCTTTTGTCTCAAATGCAGACATAATGACTCTGTTTGGTGATCAAAAAACATTCCATGCAACAGATCAGAGGACTTTTAGGGGTGGGGGAGGGAGAAACCTACTCATTCCAATGTGCTCGCTTCCTGTTTCTTTGCTGGGTGGCAGACTGGATGAGGAGTGAATCAGGGGTGAAGGGGTTGAAGTTGACATGGGGGAGCTGTTGTCTCCTGCTGCTGTCTGTGAGAGACTTCCGTGGAGAATCCACGCTGTTCTTGAAGAGAGCGACTCTCCTGCTGGAAGATCCTGGAACAGAGCCTCTGGCCCTGGACAGCAAACTCTGCAAATAAAATTAACAATAATTAGTTGCTTTATAACTAACAACATGCAGATAGCAGTGCAGACATGTCTGGACAAGTTCACCAAGTGGATCACTGGGTCATAAACTGCAGACACATTATTAAAGGTTGATATAAAAGTAGATCAACTGATGAGAAACTAAAAGGTTACTTTGCTTTAATGTAATTCTAACCTTTGGTGTGTGCGGGGTGTCGAAAAGCCGCAGTTTTCTGAAGGTTTTATGCGGAGGAGTGTCCGGGCAGTCCGGGATGGGTGAGCTGGATCCCTCCTCTCCGTCATCCTGGACGTAGCTCCGCTCCGGCGACCCTCCGAACAGCCGCGACGACTTCCGAGGAGACGCCGAACAGTTGGTGAAAATGACGCTGTTAGGAGACTGTATGGCAGGGGAGCTGAAGCCGTCTTCTTCGTCCCACAGCTCCACGTCGTCGTCTCCGCCGGACTGGTTGAGGGGGCTGCTGCCGCCCTCTCCCAGCGGATCGGCGGCGCCTCGTCGCGCAGGCGTCGGGGAGTCGATCTCTGTGAAGCCGGACTCTCCCCCGGTGCTGTTGTGGACGTCCTCGATCGAGTCGTCTTCTCCGTCGCTGGATGTGAACTGTAGCTTCTGGCGAATGGGGCGAAATTTGGGAGAAGGCGTGCCGCGTCGATGGCGGCTGTAGCTCGACATTTTGACGATTTAAACCCCGGCGAAGGACGAAGGGGGAGAAGTACAAAAAAAACAACAACAAAAAAAAAAACTGGTGCTCCCACCGCAGTACTTGCCTCTCTGCTTGAAGGTATAAAGGTATAAAATAGATCCACAAAGTACTGTTAACAGTTCCAACTGCTCCAAAAAAAAAAAAAAAAAAACTTTAGCTTTAAAGCGCTACACGCCGCTAAACCCAGCGATATGGCCGCAGACCTGCTCGCGAGAAGACGGGTAGAAACGTCCTACGCGGTAATAAAAACAATAAGCCGTCCTTCCTTTTAATTCCTCCGTGTCTCGGTGGCTCGTCGACAGAAACGCGTCTTTCCTCTGTCCTCCGTGGGAACTTAGCAATGTTTACAAAAGTTTGAAGGAGACGAAAACTGAGTTCTTCCCATCACGCGCGTGGCAAAGAACTTCCCGCGACCGTTGATCACGTGCTGTAGGGTAGCCAATCAGGACTCGAGGTTGAATTTTGAAAGATGGGCGTTCCGGAGTGTTTTCAGGAGGGGCTGACGTAGTCCCTCTGGTAGTCCCCTCCAACCCCCACCCCCTGCGGTGAAACAATGTGGCGCGCGCGTGAGGCTTTACTAGTAGTAGACGGGAGTCATGAGTCACCAAAACAATCAAAGAACAGGAGAAAAACACCTAAACACACCTTCCTGCTCCACATGTAACTGTGTTTAGCAGTTTCTTATACAAACTCTTATTCATAAATAAAAAAACAATGTAACTAATCTATAATTGTTTTGTCTATCGTTTCCGCATGCTTTCTTACATTCAGCTATAATAAAAGTTAAGATTTTTTGCATACATTGTGCATTAAAAATGCTAATTTTAACACATTTTGAAAATATAATAGATTTTCTGTCTGATAAACCAGGAAACAATAAGCCCCTCCAAAGTTTTCCAGGATGGTATGGCGACATTTGGACTTTGATCAGGAGAGAACAATGTTCTAATGAATTCATGAAATGTGTGAATCTGAAAACTTTGAGCCAAATAGGATTTTTCTTTGGAATTCTGGTAGCATTTGGTGAAAAGTGAAACATTTAAGTATTTTAAAGATTCACATCAGCAGACTTGCAGCTTTTCTAAAATCATATTTTGTTCACCTAAATAAGATTTGAAAACTTATTTAACACAGTCATATACTGGCTAATTCTGTGCATAAAAAGAATGGAAACATTTCAGTTATAAAAGGTTATATTATTTAAGGAGAACCCAGGGAGGTTTCTAACCTGACAACAGCCAGATTAGGAGGTTGCAGGGGTGAGCAATTTTTTTTCATTTGGTTAGAGGATAGACTGACTGCTGCCCCTCCCCCACACCTGTTGCAGCACTTTGAAGCCGTTTAGAAATATTTTTAGTTGCGAAAACTGCAAGATATCATGATGTGGAAACTATAGATAAACACTTAACAACCAGCTAAAATCCAGCTAGTTAAACAAGCAGAACAGAGAAAAAAAACATTAATTCTACCAGGTGTTGAAAACTACCGCATTTAGGCATTTATGCTGTTTTGCTTTTGTTGATGCAGATATATAAAAAAAAAATACACAATTCTAATCTAACGTGTTATGTATTTTAGCAGTTTTTTATTTATAAAATGTTTTTTACATTTATATTTTAAATTTTTTGTGTAAAACACCATGAAACGGTGAGATTTTTCACTCCGAGTTAAAGGCCGAGGATCAGTATGGCCATTACCTTGTAAGGTAAACAACTTACTCGTACGGATGGGGCGGTGAGGAATGCCGTGGAAAATTTACACACTGAATCATCTGGTTGGGTCACTAAACACCTTACACGTTGTAGCCTCTTATCAGATGTCGACTGTTGGGGACTCTTCTATTGTGAAACCTTTCAGGACGTGTGTTTGTTTATCTTTGTAAGATGATGTTTATAATAAATAGAGATTAGAACTTTATATTTACTATAAATATCTACGCAAGTCAACTCCTTCATTTTGTTACCTTAATTTTTGTTAAACACATTCTCAACAATGCAAACCTGTGTAACAAAGGGTTTTCAGTCAAAAATCTTCGCACACTTGTTTATTTTCTTTTTGTAGAAATATTTCTGTACACTGGATTGTGCATTAAACCATGTTAGAAAGCATTAATACCTCTAATCTTTCCAAAAGATTAGACAAAATAGCGTAACATAGTTTCAATTATCAAAAATCCTATTTACACATAAAATCAAAGTTCAGTTGTGATAAACTGGGGCAGACATGATCTCTCCCAAATGCACAAATATATATATATATATATAAAGTCCATTTGAAATGGTCTTGATCTCCATTCATTGTCTATTTGGAGTCATCACTCAGTCATCCAGGCCGGGCGTCTCTCCTTGCTGTATTCTTGAAGCTATTCGAATGGCCTCTTCCAGAGAAGGCTGATCGCTAAGCTAGAAACAAAAGAAAGGAAATATTTACTCACTTTCATCAATTAATTTCTATTCACCCATCACTCCTACGATTAATCTAATCATTACTTAGCTGACTGTGACTGATGATGTCATCACATCAGCTTGATCTAATCAATGCCCCTCAAAGACCCTAAAGGTACCAACCGTTTACTCTGTTGATTCTGATTTTTATTTTTTTTATGAATGCTGTGTAATGAAAAGCAATGTGATTCCTTGTGTAGAAGGGTTCAGTTTCTTCTCAAAGTGAATAAAATTAATTAAGAAATTAATTAATTTTTTTATTAAGAAATAAAGATGGAATCCAACAAAAAAAAAAAATCCTGAAACATGATGATTTAAAGTTTGAGTTTAGTTCTTCTTGGTAGAAAACAAAACCCTATTAGGTGGAATTTTCCCTTCAGCTTTGGGTTGTCTGTTTTATTTAAGTCAGTGGTCAGAAGTTTTCCACTTTGTGTATGTTAATCGAATAGGTCTTTTAAGAACTGCAGTGAATATTTCAGTAGGGTGGAACCTGTAAAGCGGATTAGGTTGTTAAACTAACATAACCACTGTCAGTCTTGAATAAAACCGCTGCTAGCACCCTGGGCTTTTTCAATGCATAAGCTCTCAGCGCTGCTGACCTGAGGCAACAAGGAACAAAAACTGAAAAATTAAGAAATCCAAGAGGGAAAATCCATTGGAGATTTCGAAATGATGCAAACACCTTTACCTCCTTCACATTGTTTTTTTTTTAAGGTGAAATCAGGGTTTTATATACAGACTGGGAGCTGAGAGTCTCTCCAACCACTACAACCTTTTTGGATGTGACTTAAAAAAAAAAACAAATTAGGAAAATCTGAAAAAAAAAGGTTAGGAAGTTATGAGTCTTCTTCAATCTTAGTGCTTAGACTTTTTCTCTAGCCATGTAGCCGCAAAGCTACTCTCACAATTATCACTTATGTGCTAAAATGTTTCCTTGACCTTGCTACAATCTACAGAATGTCCCCAAATACGTGTGAACATTTCTGGACCTCCATCAGTTCCACACAGAAAGAAACTTTAGTTTAACCTAGAGCAAGAGAAGCTTTAAGCAAAGAACATAATCTATATATAAATTATATCTTTATTCGCAGGTGCATTTAGAAAGTATGATGGACCCCCAAAAATCTGGATCAAATCTGTTATTTGATGACTGAAAGCCATCAAGTGTTTGAAAGCTGACATTAAAGCTGTTTAATGTAGCAGATATTCGTCTGGACCAATAAAGTCAACTTTTTCCAGGCCTAGGTCGCCCACTGACACTTTAAACGTTCAAATATTACAAATCTCTCCTCTTATGAACCAACCTGGACAGCAATGTGAGTGCCATTGGGAGTGGCCAGTAAGGTGACAGGATGAAGATCCTCCTGCTCCTGGGTGTAGTTTCCTTCCTCCAGAGTGTGGAATGATGCCATGTCGGGTGTCATGATGGCCACCTGAGGGCGACAGAAACACATTATACTGTTTACAGTATAGACACAAAGCAGCTTATAGCTGTGAAATAGGAGAAAAGTTAAACAAATTAAGCCTGAAAACTGCCTCTTATTCTCCAAGTTTATTTTTTCATCAGTTTTGCACATCTTAACTTAAACCTGCACTCGATCTTCATGACAAAAAGCTAGAATTTGGTTGGTGCAGGGTCTCAGCATCAGCATCCAGATATATAAAGGGTATTTCAAACATTTAGTTTGTTTCTTAGCGCCACCTACAAGGCTTAAAATGAAAAAAGGACTTCGTTCCATTGGGCGCTAAGGTAATGACTTTTTTACAACCTCACACCCCTGTATCATAATTTGATGAACATTTATTAAAGATGACATAAAATTACTTTTAAGGTGATTTGATAAAAAAAATCCTCACGCATAAAATGATATAAACATTTTTAATTATCAGCTTTTTGGTCAGTTTTTAAAGTCACTGGAAGCATAGTCACAATTCAAACACAAGCTTAAGAGTTACATGTATAATATTAAACAGGGTTAGAAAACACACAAGGAAGTCAATTGGCTATAGTGGGGGTCGGCTCCTTGTTCAAAAATGTATGAAAATCGATTTGTAAATTTTTTTTTAATATGAATTGCAGGAGGTCATCAAAAATTAATTATGTTTTCCAATATTGTAAACAATTTGCATTTAAGCCATAGAGATCAGTGGTGATAACTTGCAACTAACTGGCAAACAAAGCTGCAGGTGTGTCTCTGACCATGGATCCCAAAGAGAAAAAGATGGCTGATGAGAAAAGAGGATTCAAAGAATGGACCGAATCATTTGCTTTCATTATCAATGCAGAAGGATTGCCTGCATATTTTGCTTTTTAATGAGAGGTTGTCAAAAAAGAAAAAGAAAAATTGTGGATTGCATCTCCAAACTCCACTACTGCTGCTAGTTTGGTTGCAATTTTTGCATTTAAGATTTAGAAACATATTTTCCGACTGTCAATATGCTCTATCCAGAACTTCTCAAGCAGAAAAGTTTTAGTTTAACCTGGTTTAATTTCATTAAAAAAAATGTCTTTCAGGAACTTTTTGCTATCCAATTATTAATCGATTGAGAAAATTATCGACAGATTAAATGATTTGCAAAATAATTGTTAGTTGCAGCCAAGGGCGTTGGTTTGATTTCAACCTTGGTAGG